CATCCGGAAGAGCCTTGGAATACAGCCTTTGCTTCTCCAGATTGAGAAATCACAGCTGCGATGGCTTGGGATGTGTTGCGAATGCCTCCAGAAAGGAAGGCTAAGCAATTGTTCCTTGCAAATCCGACCGGCAGATGGCCCAAGGGACGGCCAGGATTAACCTGGTGCAAACATCTGGAAGGAGTCTATTCCAGACTCCATTTGTCTTTTGCCGAAGCTTAGACTCTGGCACGGGACGGTCAACGTTGGAAGCACTGTCTGACGCGTCTGCTTCCGCGACCCGAGAGGAGAAGTGGCAATGGAAGATGGAGACGTAACATTTTTTGTTGTAGTATGGGTTCTTTAAAAATTTCAATCGAAACAGATCGCCGTGCATATTTTCGTTTAATGCATACAATTGGAGGTTGGTTTAAGATGATCGTTTCATCTTTTCATTTAAATAGTTTTGTTCGCATTCAAGAAGTACGACCCGCTGTTAAATCAATAGCAAGGTCTGCAGTATTGAATTTCATTGTGGAAAGCCGCCTGTGCAAACGTTCAGAACTGAAGTTGCTGCCTTCCCCTTTTTTGCAATGGCGATTTCTGTTTTGGCACTGCTGCACTTTCTTTTTCCTGATGTGCGTCTAGTTGAATGAGATTTAATGCAAGGTGTTAAACTGCTGCAATGAATTTGTTACGAAAGAAGTGAATAAATATGGTACACATTTATTTATAAGTTCGCTACGTAACAGTTGTAGCTATACTGCACTTATTTTGTAAGTTACTTCTAGCTTGTTTTTTTGGCTTGTATCTGCTCCATCGTAACTGCATCTAAAATCCATCGTTTCCGATATTCTCTTTCCGTGCAAACAACGCTGCTTGCATCCTCTTTCATAGTTCTCTAATATGCTGTGCTCATCAAAGGCATGCCTTTGTCCTGTTGAAATCGTTTTTTCTGACCCAGTTCTTCAATTTCTTGATCAAGTTCTTCAATCTTCAATTTCCTGCCATTTTTTTCAACGTAACTCTCTTCGTGGGGGGGGGGGCGATTATCTTGTGTGTTATCCGGGCATCCACTTGTTTTGGCATGATGCCATTGTTTTGGCATGATGCCATTGGCCATGACTTTTTTGGTACGGTACTACCAGGTGGGGCGGCTTTGAAAATGTTCTTTGTCTGCTATCGTTTTCTATGAGTTTTTGATTCTGTTCAGCTACCAGTCCGCTCCTTCGAACTGCTTGTGAATGAAAATATTTGTATACGAATTTTTCTCTAACTCATCAATAATGTTGCTATTTTCTTGCTAATGTGAAAAGGTGTCAAAGCACAGTTTTATGTTTCGAATATATGATGCTTGAAACAAGTCCCGCTTTCGGAGTCGGAGTGTTGGAGTACTGCATTGGAACTTGATATACTGTCCAATGTGGATGACTTTCTTATATACACTGCTATTTATTGTTCCATTCTTTCTGTGCGCAATTATATCTACGAAAATAGGTTCTCCATGCACTTATGTATACCTAGAGAGGTTAATGTTTACGAAATACATTGAGTCGCTCTTCTCGATGCAGTCACATGATCCAGACGTCTTGGCATACCTCTAGCCTTCCAGTACGATTTCTTCAAACTGCTTCATGTGCTTTTCCGTTACGATGGAAGATTTTGGTGATCCCATGGCACAACAGGTCTGTTAACTAGCGCTTTCCACTTGCTATGAAATTGTGATTTTTGGCATATTCGTGTGATCTGACAAACATGGGTGGGTTATTATGACGGTTCGTTCTACTTAGTTGGATAATTTTTAATGCATCTACGGTGGGTATATTTGTTAAGGAGTTATTTGCGAATGTTTATATTATCAGGATTTCAGCTGCTCAAACTTCGTCAGGTATTCTTCAAGTACTTCTTTGCATCATTTAAATTTGAAGTAATGATGCATTTACGTTACAGATGAAAGTCGTATCAGTCTGTAAAGCCTGATTCTATTGCAATTATCCAAAACAGTTTTCATTTGAGTACTCCTGATGGATAGGATAGTACCTATAAAAAATTTAGCTATCTGGCAAGCGCTGCAGCTACAGAAAAGCATCTCAGGGAGCACTTTCTTAGCAGATGTATTTTGTCTATCCACTTTACGAAATAATCGTGTGCACGTATGCCACAGAATTTCAAGATTTTCTACAGTGCTGAAGGAAATGCTTAATTAACATTCCAACAACAGTATTCAGTGTCACTTTGTATACATCTACTGATTCTCTAGTCGATTCAGCTTTACAGACAGAATATTTAATGTGCGTAGTTTCATATATAGCCAACCTTGATTCTGTTGCTACCGCCGTACATAATTCTTCTTCAGATTCGTTTCCTAACCCGTCTGAACTTTGGTCGCATTAAGCACTTGGACTCTATCCTGTGATTCTATCACAGAAACTGTATTCATTGAAAAATTATCAAGCCATACAGTACTCACTTAAGGTTACTTCATTAATAAATGCCAAAAAATTGCTTGATGGATTGATTTTCAAATTTTGACTGCACATTTTTTCCCGCAGCTAAGACTGATTCTGTTCTACGTGTAAGCGATTGCCGCCAATATCTAGTGTTTATTAATTTTCTCCGATTTTACATTCTAAACGAGTAACAAAATTGTTTTTGAAAGGATTTCCTAGTTTTCGCCATGGCGCAGTATCAGCGAGTGTTGCAACAATATTGGTTTAAGGTGCTCAACAGAATGCTCATATCATGAGTTGTAACGTCAAATTGTAGACAGTGACCAATAGCAACTATGAGCGTCAACAGGAAGTAGTTTGAAGGAATGATTCGGACATCCGTTCCCAGTCGACTTTTCTTCAGCAGCAAACAGCTGGTATTCTAAGCTTTCATTCTTTTTCTGTGTTCATTTGTGCGTCCCTCTTGCGATGAGTCACTATCGTCATCAGACTCCGGTTCAGACTTAACGGAAAGCAAATCGTCAGGTGAAGTCAAGATGCTGGTGCGCGAAAGTAGCATGGAGGTAAGACGACTTTTGCAGTATATCTAAAATTTTAACACTGTAGAACATCAGAAATTAATGAACAACTTCAAGTACACCATAATCTGCATAAATCGAAAGATTTACAGTAAGATATCATTGGCTTAGAAAACTGAAGTATGACTCATGATAGAACGTGAACTTTCTCTCGATACTTAGATGATCTTTTTGACGGTGCCTGCAGTGATTAAGATAACAAAGTAAGATTTATCACCAAAATGTAAACAAGTAAAATGGGCTTCAGGCGCAGTTATCAACCATTGTGATCTCCATTAGGTAAATGAAGACTAATTTTCATTCACGTCGAAACTACAAACAGGGTATGAGGTTCATAAAAAAATATCGTGTGACACAAACGAAATGGCGTCCATCTGTCGAAAAAGATTGACAATACGAGGGAAGTTAACTAGTAAACCATATCCGCTGCTTGCATATCAACCGTTACCAATAAACATAAAAAGTATGAAACGAATAGTTTATCTTACACGTCTTTAACTATTCACGATAATGGCTAAATACTGCGAGCCAAAAAGTCGGCCAGTGCATTGTTTCATTAGTTTAAGCTACAGAATCTGCCGCTTGTGCAGAGTCCGCCGCAAGTGGCATTGGAGCGGCAAACTGAGGCGGTGGTTAGCCGGGACTCGCCAGTGATATTTGTCCGTGACGAAATCCTCAAAGAATGCTGCACTACTCTGAATCAGCCGGAATCGATGATGGTTGGCTAGACATCGGTCAGTAGTGCGCCCACAAACGGAGGCAGGTAGAAAAATGAAAGGACAGATATGGAGTGTAGCACGCTGCCTCGCCAGTGAAGGCCTCGCAAGGAATTGCATCTACTGCAAATTGCACGGCATTGTTTAACGCTTTCATATTTTTTTCTTGAAAAACAGCATGTAACATGCTTCAGAGACAATAAACATCGCAAAAAATAGCATGGTCTGTCATATTACTAGCTACTACCGACTTTTCGGTCCGCGTTTTACAAGCCTTCATGGTGGCAGGTTAGGGTAGAGTTTCAAAATTTTACCTTGTCCTAAGAGGTTGATAAGTTTGGAGTCATTATGTTCCTGATTTATTCACTGCCATAACTGATTATTGCACCTCCCGTGTGGATTTATCATATCAACCGTAAAGACTTAGTTCGTCCTCAGTCAATCAAGCAAATACCATAATCTAGTTTAAAATACTTTAGTAACGGACAAACTAGCGCATTTAACCGGGACCAGATCATAGATTCATATTGTAAACTGATCAATACTGTACATTGTGCTGTCCCCACTAGTGCCTACGGTCAACCCACAAGATTGACGATGACCGCATTGTCCAAAAGATCGGACTACTAACCGTCTCTGGCGTTACTTCGTACCTAAATTCTAACAACTTTCATCCTGCCATAAACTTTATCTGGGGTGCCAAGAAACACAGAGGTAAAGCCACAAGATGTAACTATTGAGACATCCTCTGATGAAGGGACTCGCTGCTGCTTGCTAAATATATTGTATAAATTATTAAGAATAGCTATGAGATGCGCTAAGAAAAGGTGTCCCTCTAAACATGCAGCAGTCTGATAGCTACTCCAATGACAGCGACGAGAATTTAAAATTAAAGAAATGATATTCATATGATTTTCAAAGTGATAATCATACAAAAGAAATGTGAACTGTAAAACAAACGTAATATATACCTTGTTGAGCATTTTCCTCGTTTGAACATGATGCAGTCTCACAAACCTGTCCAACCCACAAGTCGCTACGCAAGGCTCTGTTTCGTGACATTCGACACACCTGATTCCACCGGCAAACCCTTTGTATGTACAAACTAATCTTCCTTAAAGAAAAAAATTATTAAACAAAAAATTGAAGATACGATTATCTCTTACCCGTTTTTAGGTCAAAAAGGCCAAGTTCCCCGGCACCTGTGCCAGCCAACACCTTGCTAAACATAAGCCGTCGTTAGAAAGCTGCACAAAAGGCAATAAATATGAAAAGTAATTATGCCTATCTTTCCAGCAAGCGATAGCGGTGATCGGATGGTCGCCAAACTTGATGTCGACAAACGGCCGTCGCCGTCCACTTCTCAGGTCATAGCCGCGGATCTGCAAAGTACGGGAAATTTAGGACCTGCCAAAATCGCTAAATGGCATCTCAGGAAAAAAGACGAAGAGAATGAAGAGTGGCTAAGTCTTAGGCTACCACTTCAACTTGCTTTCTCCAACTTGAAAGAATGTCTGAAGATTTTTTGCTGGGTAGTTTACAAAAGGTAGTTATGTGACTTATAGGACATCGCAGACATTTATGTTACCACATACCATTATTTACTGTTCTGATCGTAAACTGATCCTCAAATGAGAACATATTTTGCGAGTATTCAATACGTACAATAAGATACACATTTCAGCTATTACTTTTCGTCTGTTTGTTGGTCCGTTTAGTCGTGACTGCATGCAATATCTTTCTATGGGGATTCCAAATCGTTAAAATAGCAGGTGCTCATAACTATCTGTACTCGGTCACAGAAGGTACATTTTGCTAGAGGCTACTGTTGTGTTGTAATCGTCAGTGTGACCCTCAGATCTGCAGCAAGAGTTGCTCAGGTATTTTGCCAAGGTATGTCACACAAGGTAATCCTTGGAATATAACTCGTTCTTGCCGCTCTTATCTGAAATTACAATATTTCTGTAAAAACCGAGCAATCATGTACACAACTGAAAAAAGGCGCATATACAGGGGTGAAGTCCGACCGATGACTTATCACTACGGCCTGGCACTTTTTTTAACTCCCAAGCGGCTTAGTTCCCGCTCTGCGGTGCCCACTTGGCTCCTCCATGTGTCTGTTCTCCTCATTTGCGTGGTAACTGTTCCCTTCCCATCAGCGGTGAAGGTTATCCCAAGATATTTGAACTTGTGTACATGCTCCATCTGATCGGTCAGTCCTAATGACCATAAAGAAGTGCAAATGCATGTACAGATTTGAAATGGCATAGTTTCGAATGACCGCTCATATCTTATTTCAATATCGTACAATGATTTAACTCCAAAACTATTGTAATGATATTCACCTGGTAATGGGCGGTGCACGTTGCCACTACATTGTCATCGACAAAACGCAGGTCTCTTATCCACACCGGAATTCTCAGATTCAGTTCATCATGCGGAACCTGAAAAAAAACTTTGATAAATCTTACTTCAGCAGAAATCGCGTATGATGAATTACGTTTTTGGCAATGAAGATCGGCTTCTGCGGATTATTTAAATCGCGAACTTTCAAATCGTTTTCTCTACCGCCCGTCGCCACCATGTTTGGGATCTTAGGATTCAGGCGCATTCGATTTATGTTCTCTCCAACCATGGTACAAAGCTAAGATAAGAACTTCCAGTAGTTATAGATAAAAAGCACTTTAATAAAAAATAAAATCAAAACACAGGAGAAAAGCATCTTTGCTGTGCATATGCTGAAACAAACCAGAGATGTGGTCTGCTTAAATGATCCCTAGGCGATTAGGAGAAAAGATGCGGTGCAATATGCCGTTAATCCAGCACCAAAAGTATTAAACCTTATTAAAACCATCCAATGGAGT